CCTGAATGACTTTGGGGTAGATAATACAATTAAGGCAGAAATCACAAAGTTCTCTGAAACCAGTGAGATACACCAGAATCTCTGGGACATAGCTAAGACAGTGTTATGAGGAAAATTTATAGCACTAAATGTCCATCTCAAGTTAGAAAGATCTTAATTTAAAAACCTGATATCACAACTAAAAGAACTAGCAAATCAAGAGTGAACCAACCCCAAAGCTAGCAGAAGACAAGAAATAACCAAGATCAGAGCTGAACTGAAGGAGATAAAGACACAAAAAACATTCAAAAGATTAACAAATCCAGGAGTTTTTTTTTTTTTTTTAAATTAGTAAAGCAGATAGACTGCTAATTAGACTAATAAAAAAGAAAAGAGAGAAGATCCAGACACAATTAGAAATGACAAAGGGGGTATTACCACTGACCCTGCAGAAATACAAATAACCATCAGAGAATATTATAAAAACCTCTATGCACATAAACTAGAAAGAAGTGGAAAAATTCCTAGACAAATACACCCTCCCAAAACTGAAACAGAAAGAAACTGGATCCCTGAACAGACCAATAATGAGCTCTGAAATTGAATCAGTAATAAATAGCCTAACTAACAAAAAAAGCCCTGGACCAGATGGATTCACAGCTGAATTCTACCAGACATACACCGAAGAGCTGGTACCCATCCCTACTGAAACCATTCTAAAGAATCTAAGTAGGAGGGATGCCTCCCTAACTTACTCTATAAGGCCAGCATCACCCTGATACCAAAACCTGGCAGAGACAACGAAAAGAGCAAACTTCAGGCCAGTCCTTGATAAATATTGATGCAAAAACCCTCAACAAAATACAGGCAAACCAAATCCAGCAGTACATCAAAAAACTTATCCACCATGATCAAGTAGGCTTTATCCCTGGGATGCAAGGTTTGTTCAACATATGCAAATCAATAAATGTGATTCATCACATAAACTGAACTAAAGACAAAACACAATTATCTCAATAGATGCAAGAAAAAAGTCTTTCAATAAAATTTAACATACCTTCATGTTAAAAATTCTCAATAAATGAGGTATTGGGAGAACATACCTCAAAATAAGTCATCTATGATAAACTGACAGCCAATATCATATTGAATAGGCAAAAGCTGGAAGCCTTGCCCTTGGAAACAGAGACAAGGATGCCCTCTCTCCTATGTAACATAATATTGAAAGTCCTTCCCAGAGCAGTCAGACAAGAGAAAACAATAAAGAGCATCCAAACAGGAAAAGAGGAAGCCAAACTATCCCTATTTGCAGATGACATGATCCTGTATCTAGAAAAACCCATAGTCTCAACCCAAAAGCTCCTTCAGCTGATAAACAAGTTCTGCAAAATCAACATACAAAAGTCAGAAACATTCTTACACATTGACAACAGTCAAGCCAAGAGCCAAATCAGGAACAGAATCCCATTCACAATTGCCACATAAAGAATAAAATACCCAGGAATACAGCTAAACAGGGAGATGAAAGATCTCTACAAGAAGAACTGCGAAACACTGCTCAAAGAAATGATACAAACACATGGAAAAAAAATTTCATGCTCATGGATAGGAAGAATCAATCAATATTGTTAAAATGGCCATACTGCCCAAAGCAATTTATAGATTCAATGTTATTCCTATGAAACTACCACAGACATTCTTTACAGAACTAGAAAAAAAAATTTTAAATTCATATGGAACCTAAAAAGAGCTGAAATAGCCTAGGCAACACTAAGCAAAAAGAACCAAGCTGGAGGTATCATGCTACCTGACTTCAAAGTATACTATAGGGCTACAGTAACCAAAACAGCATGGTACTGGTACAAAAACAGACATATAAACCAATGGAACAGAATAGAGAGCCCAGGAATAAGGCCACTACACATGCAACCATCTGAGTTTTGACAAAGCTGACAAATGACAAGCAATGGGGAAAGGACTCCTTATTCAATAAATGGTGCTGGGATACTGGATAGCTGATGAAGATTGAAACTGGACCCCTTCTTTATACCATATACAAAAATCAATTGAAGAAAGATTAACGACTTACATATAAAACCCAAAATTATAAAGACCCTGGAAGACAACCTAGGCAATACTACTCTGGACATAGGAATCGGCAAGGATTTCATGACAAAAACACCAAAAGCAACTGCAACAAAAGCAAAAGTTGACAAACGGGATCTATGTAAACTAAAGAGCTTCTGCACAGCAAAAGAAGCTATCCACAGAGTAAAGAGACAACCTACAGAATGGGAGAACATTTTTGCAAATTATGCATCTGACAGAGGTCTAATATCCAGTATTTATAAGGAACTTAAACAAATTGACAAGAAAAAAACCCACCTCATTAAAAAGCAGGCAAAAGATATGAACAGACACTTTTCAAAGGTAGACATACATGTGGGCAACAAACATGAAAAATTAACATCACCGATCATTAGAGAAATGCAAACCAAAACCACAATGAGATACCATCCCACATCAGTCAGAATGGCTACTATTAAAAAGTCAAAAAAGAACAGATGCTGGCGAGGTCACAGAGAAAGAGGAACACTTTTACACTGTTGGTAGCAATGTAAATTAGTTCAACCACTGTAAAAGCAGTATGGTGATTCCTCGAAGACCTAAAAACAGAACTACCATTTGACCCAGCAATCCTATTAGCAGATAAATATCCAAAGGAATATAAATTGTTCTATCATAAAGATACAGGCAGGCACACATATGTTCACTGCAGCATTATTTGCAATAGCAAAGACATGGAATCAACCTAAGTGCCCATCAACTGTAGACTAGAAAATGTGGTACATACACATCATGGAATACTATGCAGCCATAAGAAAGAACAAGATCATGTCCTTTGCAGGGGCATAGATGGAGTTGGAGATTATTATCCTTAGCAAAGTAACTCAGAAACAGAAAACCATATACAGCATGTTCTCACTTCTAAGTGGGAGCTAAATGATTAGAATACATGGACATAGAGGGGAACCATGCACACTGGGGCCTATTGGAGGGTGGAGGGTAAGACGAGGAAGGGGATCAGAAAAAATAACAGGTACTAGGCTTAGCACCTGGGTAACGAAATAGTTTGTACAAGCCCCTATGACCCAAGTTTACCTGCCTAACAAACTCACACATTTGCCCCTGAAGATAAAAGTTAAAAAACAAAACATAGATGACTGCCCTGTTCCCCTGCCAATCAGAGTCTGAGGGACAGGGCATGAAGGAGCACATTTCCTAATGACTGGAGGTCCATGTGAGCTGCACTCAGCAACAGCCAGCTTCCTCTTCCTCAGCAATGGGAATGCCATCTGCTAGGGGCAGAGGGGGACACAGGTTTTCTGGACACTGGTTGGTTTACTGAACTCTTGCCCAGTGCTCAATAGCCAGTGTCAGACTTGGCCTGAGAATGTTCCAGCAGGAGGTTCCAATGAGGTGGTTTAGACCTGCACTTTGGGTTCCACTCTTGTCTACTTGAAGCCTTTGGGGAACATCCCAACATTTGTGGAATACTGGTTGGTTTAGTGAACTTCTTTTTCCTACCATCCCACCCCATTCCTAACCCCTAAGGAGAAAACAAAATGTTTCCTACCCCAAAGAGGATCATTTTTAGGGATGTGAATTTGCCAGCCACTGCAGAGCAGGTAGGAAGGTGAGTGCTGAGTATGGCTGAGTGCAGCTTTTGGTTTGGGCTTCTAATGAAAGACAGCTCAGCAGCTTGTTGAAGCAACCCCTCTTCAACACTTGAGGAGTCTAAGCTTTAAGAAGCAGGGTGCATTGGCCCTAAGATGGCTAAGGATCACACTGAGGGTCTGAGGCAGCCAGCTCTTCAGCGGGGGCCCTGAGAAAGCCCCTAACAGGACACCTATGAGTTAGTTCCAAGTGAGAAAAATGTTGAGCAGATCCCTTGACACACACAGGCCACCCCCCATGGGCATCCATCACTGTTAGGTAGCATTCGCACAAGCACCCTCACCAGGGCAACCCCAGCTAACCCTTGCACAACCCCATTTGACTCGGGAGCAAATATTCAGAGATGCTGAGTACTTTGCTCGAGTCTAGGCCCTCAGTATTTGGTGGGATTCCAGCATCAGGTCAAAATGTCATTCTCAGTGAGACCTGAAAGAGTCTGGAAGAACTGGTTTTTTCCTTGGATGTATTCTGTCTCATGTAATGATCTCCCTCACTCAGCTGAATGTCTATTCACAATGGCTGGGCGCCATCAACCTCAGGTACAAGACACCAGAATTCTAATTTATTATAATCTAAGGCAACAGAAAAATACAATGACATCACAGGGAACATGCACAGTAGAGTAAGTGTCCAACACCTTGCTTCTCCCTAACACCTTCCTAGGTTGGGGTTGGAAGGGTCCGGTACTGGAGCATGATCCTTGGCTGTGGATCCTGGCTCCACCATGCAGCAGCCATGTGCTGGGTGCATTGCTTGTGGGCCTCACTTTCCTCATCTATAAAATGGGGATAGCAGTCCCCACCTCATGGGGGTATGATGAGGAACAAATGGGGACACAGTGCCTGGTACAGAGGGAGCGCTTGATACGTGATTGGCCTAGGAGGGCACGAATGCCAAGTCATGTGACTCTGCACCCCCAAGGCCTGGCACATCAATAAATGCTCCTGATCGAGAAGACAAAGATGAGTCAGCTGTGGGGGACACAGTTCGAGAGTGCTGGCTGCCAACAGTTCAACAACATATTTCTAAACACATACTTTCCAAAGAGCAAAGTTCAGAGCAAGTCTGAGATTCTGACTTCTCCTGGAGTTTCACTAATTAAAACTCATTATTTCAATATACAAAAATGTGGCAGTAGAAAATGAAAACACACAAGTAATAAATGTGAAGCTCTTCACTAAAAATGACTCCCGCTCTGCAATGAGCATTCAGGAAATGCTGCAGTAATTACTCTCCCATGATTGAATCAGAGTTTTCCCAAAGATAAATACACATAGAGCCTCGTCATAATACTTTTTTTTTATTACAATATCCAAAAAACTGGGTATGCAAGTTTAGGGGATCTCAAGACCCCTTCTTCAATTGTAGGAATGTGCCATCTCAAGACGGTATATTTAAACTATAAAGAAGTTCAAATGTAAAGGAAAAAGAAAATGCAATTTCTTCATAAACATTCTGTGTCTCTTACTACCAATCACATACTCTTCTGTAAACCCTGAAAATTTTCCCTGTAAATAATATATATATATATATATAGTGTGTGTGTGTGTGCATGTGTGTGTGCGTGTCTGTGTGCGTGTGTGTATAAAGTGTTGGTAGCTCCCTTCCCCAAAGATCAGCTGTTTTCCTTAATCATCTGTATTAGTGTCAACAAACAGCTACAGATACATATTTCTTTGAGAATTAAATACATAATTGTGAGATTCAAACAAGCCAAAGGGCAAGAGGAAAAAGCACTATGTGGATGGCACATTTGGGGTCAATTACCAAAACATCTGTCTTTCTGAGTCACCGGTTCCCTCTTTTGCAGACTGCCTTTCCAGGAAACTCTTTCTTTATTGCAAGCACAGCCCCAAAGGCACTGGGCAGTCTCCTCACTGCCATCGCACCCGGTGGTTCCAGTATTGCTATCAGCAAACATGTTGGCTCCCTGCAGAGTCCGGGAGCCATGTAAGGGCACAGGACACGGGCGAGGGCTGCTAGGACTGGGGCCATTGCACCTGCTCTGCCCAGCACGTGGAGGGCCCAGGACGCGGGTGCCGCCGCTGGGTGGCCTGAGGCTCGCTCACGCGCTCACAGGTGCCCCGTGTCTTTGTCATGAGGGGTTCCGTGAGCGGGAACGAGTGCCGTTCCCAATGGAAAAGGAATAACGTGAACTCGCCCTGCGCCTCCCCTCCTCTAAAGCTGGCCGGCCGGGTGGGCTTGAGTGCGGGTGAGGCCTGGAAGGCGAACGGGAGACAAACCCACCAAGCGACCTGAACGTAAAGAGAGACTCGCTGGGAAGCCGTCAGGGCCGTCCCCACGGGAGGAGCCTCCGCGGCAGGGCCGGGCGGTAGCGCCACCAAGAGGCGAGCGTGGGGCCGGGGCGCCGTCACTGCAGGGCCCTGACGAGGTAGAGCTTCTCCCCGTGCTCGCTGGTGAAGATGGGCGCCTTTTTGTAGTGTTCCACCAGCTCGTCCATGGTGTGGAAGCGCCGCTGCCCAATGCAGTAGACATTGTCCACGAGCTGCACCTTGAAGTGTTTGTTCTTCCCTGACGCTTTAAGGGACACGGAGAAGTCGCTGGGCTGCGGAGGAAACAGAACACAGTTACAGCGGGGCCACCGCTGGGAGCGCCTGTCCAGCACCCGGAGGCCCAGGACGTGGGCGCCGCCGCTGGGTGGCCTGAGGCTGGCTCCACTGACTCTGAACCCTCCGGGCACCTCCATCCACCTCTCCCGCGCGTCTGAATCCAAACCACGCTTTGTTTTTTTTTTTCACATTTGAGATGGAGTTTCACTCTTTTGCCTAGGCTGGAGTGGAGTGGTGCGATATGGGCTCACTGCAACCAACCACCATCCCCGGGGTTCCAGCGATTCTCCTGCCTCAGCCTCCCGAATAGCTGGGTCTATACGCACCCGCCACCACGCCCCGATACATTTTGTATTTTTAGTAGAGACAGGGTCTCCCCCTGTTGACCAGGCTGGTCTGGAACTCCCGACCCCAGTCAATCTGCCTGCCTTGGCCTCCCAAAGTGCTGAGATTGCAGGCATGAATCACCATGCCCGGCCGGGTCTCTGTTTTATATCTAGAATGGCATCTGATGTCCAGAAAGACCGGGAGGCAGTCCATGATTCTGAAGTTCCTAACAGAAGAAAAATTACACTCTGCTTAGCCCAGTTTCAGTGCTAAATGCGTTTGAGTTATTTGAAAAGTGCGAACTCATTATGGAATATACAGCACCGCATTATGGAATATACAGTGCTGACCTGACTGCTCAAGAAATTTGTCATTTTTATTTACAAAACTGTTTTTTGATAAACTGGGAATTTATTAACGGTGGTTTGTACGTAGGCAGTAGCTAGAAATATTACTTCTTCTGATGTCTAACACTTAGAAATTAAGGCATCAAAAATTTTCTAATTCTAAGCATTTAAAAATATAAAGAGCAGTGGAAAATTCTGGTTGCATTTTAAACACAGTTCACAATCTACGAGAGGAAGCTGAACTATGGTTTGATTACAGATTTTATTGAAAAATATTTAAATTCTGTGATATGTCAGTGCCTTAGTTATATTTCAGAATATTTTAGAAACATGTCATTATTTTAATTAAAATGGATCTTTTATTGGCTGGGTGCAGTGGCTCACACCTGCAATTCTAGCACTTTGGGATGCCAAGGCAGGCATATCACCTGTGGTCAGGAGTTTGAGACCAGCCCAGCCAACATGGTGAAATTCCGTCTTTACCAAAAGTACAGAATTACTGGGTGTGGTGATGCGCACCTGTAATCCCAGCTACTTGGGATGCTGAGGCAGGAGAACTGCTTGAACTCAGGAGGCGGAGGTTGCAGTCAGCTGAGATTGCACCACTGCGCTCTGGCCTGGGCAACAAGAGTGAAACTCCATCTCGTAATAAAAAAATTAGCTTTTATCTCATTTCCCGAACAGCATGCAGGAAAGAAGATAATGAATGACAAATGTTCTTTTTCAAAAATATCAAGTTTTGATCAATGAATTAAACAAATATCAATTAGTTACTAACACATGCCAGGCAGGCTGTGCCCTGGATATGTGTGTGCGCGCATCCAGGATATATGCTCTGTGACAATCCAGTGCGTATAAATAGAGATGGATAAATAGAGGTGGACAGATGGCTGCACAGGGCAGTAAGTTCTATGAAGAAAACCCCAGAGTTGCAGGGGAGAGGAACATGAGCTACCGGAGCCCTAAGTGTGTGAACGTGTGCATATGTGAGAGGAAGTATGTGAGTATTAAGAGAGAATGTTAGCGTGTGAGTGTATGTGTGTACACACACAGGTATGAGCTCTAAGTATGTGTGTGTGTATGTGAGTATTGAGAGAGAGAATGTGCAACGTGAGTGCACGTGTGTGAGTATATGAATGTCCGTGCACACACAGGTATGCACGGGGAGGGGGGCAGGAGAGCACTCTGGATAATGCAGAGGCAGGGCTGGTAGAGAGTGCTTGAGAAACTAGCACCTTGGTGAAGAAAGGGAAGAAGGTCCTGCTTCTGCGGCACCCAAGGGGCAGTGTGACTGGTGGAGTGGAGAAGGGAGTCTAGTCCACACAGTAAGTGCTGCACCCCTGGCTTGCTAGGTAGCATCAGTTCATGCCTGACCAGTGGCAGGACCACAGCCTAATATCCGAAATTCTGTATGGAATTCCCACACCAGCTTTCTGCTTTTCTCAAAGCCCAGGAACTTCCTGCTCTGGGGGTCCAGTAGCTTGGGGCCCTGCTTTAAGACCTCCTAGTAGGACCTCCAGACAGTGAACAAAGGCCTAGGCCACTGTCTATCACAGGGTTCACAAAAGCCCAAATAAATGTTTGATAAGTGGGCAACCCTTGCAAAATAAGGAATCACTCCATTTACACCAATGACAACACAGGGGAATGAGTATCTGAGAAAACTCAAATTGTGCAAGGCAGCCCGGCTCACCCACCAGCCACAGCTATTAACAGGAAAGAATGAAAGGAACAATTTTAAGTAAGTATAGTTTGTACTTGTGCATGCTTCTGCCCCAAACAGATCAAATAAGAACAAACCTTTGAGGGAAAAAGCCCCGTCTCATTGCCATGTGAAACCCGGGGCTCTACATCTTAGAGGAGGCCCAGGGCATGCTCCTGGATTAAACTCCAGGAAGAAACCAGAAGGTTAATCTCAGATTAGGCCTTAGCCTGTAGATGATTATTCTGTAAATATGTATATTCTGTACTAGAAGTTGTGCCTTTAGGAAAAGATCAAGGGCAATCTCACCTGTAGAGTTTACCATAAGCCAGGCACTGTGTTAGTTTTATAATACTTTAATCAACTTAGAAATAAAGTGGCATCAGTTTTAGTGGAGGCAGTATGGGAGTGAATCGTGGTAAATATATGATACACCCAATTTTAATTAAGCCAAATGATCAACAGATGACTTTCTGCATAAGGAAATTTGCTTTTAATTCAAGCTCCTTAATTTAACATCATGGTGTGTGTGTGCCTGTATGCATCCCTGAGTTGCGGCAATAAATTTTCGCAGCAGAAAAGGTAATTTTTAATTCCATGGGCTCTTGAGCAGAAACCTTACAGTTAAGGATGTAGAACCAATTTATGCCAAGCAGGAGTGCTAAAAGTTTGGGAGTGTTCTTTAATTTAAACTGAGATTTCCTGTAGGAAATCTAGAAAAGAACAACCTATATGCTAACATACACCGTTACATGTTACCACTGAACACCTCTAAGTGAAGTGTGAAGATGAAATAGGTCAGATGTTCTCCAAGTATGCTTTCAAGACTGGCAGCATCAGCATCCTCTGGGAACTGGTTAGAAAGCAAATTCTCAGGTGCTAGCCATGGTGGCTCACATCTGTTGTCCCTGCACTTTGGGACGCCATGGTGGCAGGATTGTTTGAGGCCAGGACTTTGACACCAGTTTGGGCAACATAGTGAGATCCTATCTCTACTCAAAATTTTAAATAATTAGCCAGATGTGGTAGTGCAGACCTGTGGTCCCAGCTATTTGGGAGGCTGGGGTGGGAGGATCACTTGAGCCCAGGAGGTCAAGGCTATAGTGAGCTACCATAGGGCCACTGCACTCCGGCCTGGATGACAGAGTGAGACCCTATCTCAAAAAAATTAGATTAAAAAAAAAAAAAAAAAAAAAGCAAATTCTTAGGCTCTGTCCCAGCCTGCTGCAGCAGAAATCCTGGGGTAGAGCCCAGCCATCTGTGTTTTAACCTCCAGCACCCTCTGTTTTAATAAGCCCTTCAGGAGACGCTGATGCAGTTTGAGAACTGGAAGAAAATTTGGAACAAACATCAGCAGTGTTGGAGCCACCAACAAATTTTAGTCACCAGAAAAAGATGGGAATGCAATTTATGGGCAAAGCAGCCCATAATGGAGGGAGCTCCGGTCTGTGGATGCCTTTCCAACTTCGTCCTGAGGACTCTGGCTCTGTTCCAGACATCCCTCACAGGGAATTTCCTCTGATGGGAAAGCTGGGACACTGCTGGGGACAGTGCTATATGGGCTCTTCCTTTCAAAGTGAGCCAGTCCCTGCATCTGATGGAGACAGAGTTACTCCTGATCCAAAACAACTCTGCCTCCAGAGGGGGCCAGGGAATGATTCCCATGAAAGCAACTCCATCACTCCTGTTCTCATCTGTTGTAGTCCTTCCATGGTTGGCTTTCTAGAACAGACTTCAAGAAATCAGATTAAAAAGGACCATGCCACACTCACTCCTCAACATGTACTAAAGTACTGATAGTATGGTAGAGTACTCTACATTTAAGCTTGTCAAAGAATCTTAACACATTTTTGAAATACGCAGTCAAGATGCTGGCTGAGGCTGCAGTCATCTGAAGGCTCGCCTGGGGATGCAAGCTCTACTTCCGAGGCAGTCTGCTCACATGAACCCCTGGGGGGCTCTGTAGGGCTACTTGAATGTACTCACAACATGGTAGCTGGCTCACTCTAGATCAAGTGACCCAAGATAGCGCAAAGAGGCAGCCACAGCGCCTGTCTCAGAAGCTGCTCTTCATCGCTTCTGCCACATCTTGGTCATTAGAAGTGAGTTGCTCAGTGCAGCCCATGCTCAAGGGAAGAGGGTCAGTCTCCACCTTCTGGAGCAGAGTACCAAGGAATTTACGGACATCTTTTTAAGCCATCATAGATGGACATGACACTCATTTAAATTTTCTATGGCCGGACTAAACTAGACTCAGTCCTTGGGTTTTGAAACATCTGCCCTTTGATTTCTTTCTCCTCTGCAATTGCCACCTTTGTGCTATCTCCCACTGTCCCCATTTCCTACACTTTCCACATCCAAACATTGTACTTACTTGGTATATAGCAATTTCTCTGTGCTGATTACTAGGCAAATTTTCTAATTTTCTAACATTAGACACTTCTTCCTGTTATGTCCTTCTATGACTATTCCTTATAAGGAATGATTTTTCTATTCGCATAGTTTTTGAATCAATGGTTCTGGAGAATGAACAATTAGTACAACTCATTCATTCGACCCTTCTTTTCAGAAAGTCATTTTCCAAGTGGAATCTAAGGACAATTAACAGGTTGGTGAAAAA